AAGTGGGGTTATGTTAATAATGATGACGTTCTTCTACACTTTGCAACACTGCCAATGAGCACTAGCCAGGATATTCTTGAAGCTTTATAGTTTTATGAAGGCATCATCTTATAACTTTCTTGAATCAATCTTATCATTTTCGAAGCTTTGTTGTCATACCCAGGAGCAAATAGTCATAAGAATGGATTCGAATATGCAATAAGTACTTCAACAGGAAGAAATCGTCTCTTAAAATGCCTTATCATTACCTAAAGGTTTTAATCAAGCATTAGAGGAAGAAAATTGGTTTTAAGTATATCTTGCGCCATATTTACTACAAACAGATGTCGGCCATTGATGGAAATGGAAATTTCAAGCGGAGAATAGAAAAGATGCATTGATACTGCCGTCGAAAATGTTGTTTTTCCACATTTTTCAAACGACTCACCCCTATTCAGCAAACATTCACACAGTTTTGTCAACTTTTTTGAAAAGTTATTAAAATTCACATCCAATTCTAACTGGTGAAAACACATTATTTATAGCTGCTTTTTTTGAAGCATATCTGGTATGTTGTCGTCAAAAAAATCGCCATCGTTTTCATTTTACAGCCTCAATCTTCACAAAAAGGACTATTTGATACAGTCGGGAATTATCATATCATACCGCCATGTTTAATCTCTTTTATAACTATCTATTGTTCTCTCTCCATTTCGACATGTTTGTATTATAATTAGTTCTGACAAAAGACTATCATAAAATACGTTACGGACTATATTATCTTAACAAATGCTTACTGCGACTGATAAGGTTTCAATTCTAGCCAATAAGTTTTAATGTTGGCATAGGAAATGTCGTTTCAGAACATACAGGTTTGATCTCGTACTAAAAGGCTTCAAACGAAGTAGTTTTGATAGGTTTTATCATTGCTTTGAGGCATACTACAATAAATTCCTATTAGTTTCATGACAAACTTTGAGAGAAGCTGTGACAGCATTTATTAAGGTGAGCCCTTTATGTTTTGAGAAGGTTGTTTGATTATTTCAATGATATTATCAAAGTAAAATAGTTTCAGAAAGGCATTTTAAAATAGGCTGTAACAACCTCCTGTAGCTAACAATAAAACTGATAATGTTATTTGGGCACACAGTTGCCAGATAAACTCGTGAGAAATTTGAAGTTCATAATAATTAATCGATTTCTTGTTAGCCATTCAATTAATATCAGTGAGTCTATGAATATTGTCGTGAAAATTTCAAAATAATGTTTTTGTAAAGCTGCTGATAATCATTCACAAGAAGATTTTTAGGAAATATGAACTACATCCTAATGCATAAATATGAGATTTGCGTATGAGAATATATAACTGACAATGTAGCCGACAATGTGCGCATGATCACAATTGCCGTAAGCACACTGGTTGTATCAGATTCCAGCGATTTCTCACACTTGCATCTTGCTTCCTAGGTCTATTAGTTCTGTGTTTAGGACTGAAGGACATGTGGTTTCAACAGGAAGGAGCAACGGCACACACTGCGCGAGTCACAGCTTTGGCGATTAGCACTGGCCCGCAAGATCGCACGATTTAAACGTCTCAGACTTTTTTTGTGGGGTTTTTTGAAGTCCCGTGTTGACGTGAACAAGCCCGAGACCCTGAAAGCCCTCAAGGACGACATTCGACACGAGTGCTAGAATCTGTCGCCCGAAGTTCTCGCCGAAGTGATGAAAAATGCCATGAAACGAGCCCTTGTACAATGAATTGTGACGGCGCCCATTTGGCCGATATCATCTTCTCGACTCAACTAATGAAATTCTAAAGGTTCAAATAACCATCATCAAGAAACAGAATCGGAGCTTTCCATTCGGAATAAAAATGAGAGCAAAAAATCATTTTTTGTTTGTTTTATTTTCTGGTTCTCACAAAGACGGATATCCTGTAATGTTCAGAAAACATCGTGAGATTCAAGAAAAAGAACGTGATAATTTGTGTTCTCCTTGAATTTCTGGGGGTTATATGCCTCGGGGAACATCTTCCTTGGCAATGTGTTCCAGAGCCTCAATGTTCGTTGGACGATCGAGTCTTTGTAAAGAGATGTTCTGCAGGTCTCCAAAGTGACCACGAAGGGGTGTGGAGCCTCAACCCGACGGGTTAATCTCGCGGGGACTGCCAAAGGAAGGAACACTTGTTGATATTCCAGGGGAGCATCGTCCATGAAGATATCTATAAAATAGAACCAGATCGCCTACTTTTCTACAGTGTTCGATTGTTCGAACACTGCCGCGGTTACATCTGAAATAGCCCCGTTTTTGAATGTTCAAATGAAACACCATGCTTATTGTGAATATTTTCGATATCTGAGGGAATTCAGGATACAAATATGTTATTTTCAAGAATCTCCACGATCATTTCCGTTTTGAATCACACATTATCTCAGGAACTCAAGTAATGTAAGAAAATTACAATCGCGAAGTTCGAGTGACTAATATGATAGACAGGAATGACACAAGTTATCAGAATTTGATTTCCTTCTCTAACAATTCTTTTTCAAATGACGACCATTTTTAGACCAGAACTTTCCGAAACATGATTTCCCAACAAATCTGATACTGTGATGATACAATATCACTAAGGAAAATACTACAGAATAATTTATCTACTTTTGTCAAGTGTACCATGAATAACCGTGATGCATCAAATTTTGTAGTTATGTTCGACCGAAATACTTATTATAGGTAATAATGACTAATCACCAGTGACATAATAGACCTGGGTTGATAATTTCCGAAACCAAAAAGAAATTATAGTTGAATGAATCCCATTGATTGGAAGGAAGAGAATAAAACAGACATAAAATAAAAAATTAATTACGGTAGAGAAGTAGAACGGGGTGAGTTTTACAGGTGAACAACTGTTAATTGCAATTTCTGGCAAAATTACAAGTCCTGAGAAAAAAATCAATGTTTTTGAAAACGGAAGGATCGATAACTTTTGTGGATACATTTCTTTCACATAATTTCGAAATTGATGAGAAAAATTCAAATATCCAAGTTTTTGGTTTTTAATATATTTTTCCCAAAACAAAATTTTTATCCACGAGATTCAGTGAAAACTTACTAGTTCATGTCCCAAATGAACTGATTTGTTCTATCTGAAATACTTTTTTCACCTTACTTTGATTTAATATCGATAAAGCACCCTGATATTCAATCGAAGATTCTGGAGTCAAAATATGGTGGGCTATATGTTCATTCGAATCTCCACTTTCTAGTGGTGTGGAAGATATACAGGGTGTTGCGAAATTCGACCGACAACGCTTGACAGGTGATAGCCCTCGTGATTTCATAATCACTGAGATAGGGACATACTGTCTTCAAGTGTTCAGTTCTCGAGATACAGGGCGTTAAAGTTAAGAAATTAAAATAGTTGTTTCGCAATATCTCAAGAATAATTGAATATAATGCATTCAACTTCGGTATATGGTTTCATCCTCGAATGGGTTATTTTTTGACCAGGCAGCTATTCCGGATATTTTATCCAGTGGTGCCCTACAGGGGGTTGTGGCAACTTTTCCTCCCATATTATCTACGCCACTGATTAAATTTCGATAATCTCCAATTCTTCGAATTCATTGTTCAATTTAGTTAAAAAAATGCATCACCTCCAACTGTGCTGAAATGCACAGTTTTCGAGATATTCGACCCAACATAGAAGATTGCATAGTAATATTTCATCATTTTCAGTAGTAGAAAATTGCTTAAATAATTTTCTCGTGTTGAGTAGACTAGATACTATTCAGATCTCATTTTATAGCTGAACAGAAATAGTAATTCCACGAATAGAGAGGAAACAACAATTTTGGTAATTTTCTACTACTGAGGAAGATGAAAAATTACTATGGAAACTTCTATTTTGGGTCAAATATCTCGATAACTGTTCATTTTAGCTCAGTTGAAAGTGATGCATTTTTTCAACATAATTGAACAATCAATTCGAGAAATCGGAAATAATCGAAATTCCATCAGTGGCGTAGAAAATATGGGAGGATATGTTATTACAACCCTCTGTAGCGCACCTCTGGATAAAATTATCGGAATGCCTTTCTGGACAAAAAATTAACCATTGGAATATGAAACCATATACGGAATTTGAATGCATTATATTAGATTTTTCTCGAGATATTGCGAAAAAACTATTCTAATTTCTCAACTTCAACGCCCTGTATCTCGAGAACTGAGCACTTGAAGACCGTATGTCCCTATTTCAGTGACTATGAAATAACTTGGGCTATGACCTGTCGAGCGTTGTCGGTCGAATTCCGCAACACCCTGTATACATTATCAGAGTAGTTGTACTCAGAAACCACAAAGATAGGAAACTCGAATCCGAAATTTTTTTTGAATCATTATGTACAATTTTGGGCTATTGATCAATATCGACACTGATAACTCAAAGATCCCATGTTACATCAGTGAAAAAATGAATTTCAAATCCAATAAGATTGCACGAACATGCGAAAACCAGTTGTTCTAGATAATGAAGAAGATTTCACACGGGATTTCATCTGGAAAAGGTGACTACTGCTTTTTCGTTCCTTTGCATTTTCTGAGAACATTTACCTCAGTACTGCATATATTCTCTCATTTTATCAGGAAGTAGACATTTCTTCGAACATAAAGGCAATCGAGTTTTTCGAAGAAGAATATATTTTGACGTGAGAGTATCAGATTGAAAACTTGGGTGCTTTTTGATGTTAAATCAAACTAAGGTGGAGAAATAAATATCTCGAATCACATCACATCATCTTATTCTGAACCAAAATTATTTCAAACACCCAGAAATATAACGATGATACCAAATCTCATTTTATATTCTTGAAGTTCTGACTTGTCTATTATATATGGATTCGTTGACACCCGTTATCTGAAAGAACCTGAAGTACCACACTTTTTGCCACACTCTCATCATTCAAAATCGAATTTATTGTTCTTGTAAATGGAATTTTCAAATCTGTTATCTTTGGCGAATAGTAGAATATGACACGTAGATGTGTTCTTCTCTGATAGATAACCATTTAGCCTATTCCCAACATTTTGGGTCTGTACCTACTGATTTTCACCATTTTATAATAAAAAGTGCCCGAAAAAAATGATACTACTGGTTTTTGCGAAGGAAACTAACAATTTACTCCCTGGAGGAACTGAAACATGTTCAGATCTTTTGCATCATCCTAAGAAACTGGGTTAAAAATATTCGCTCTCTATTTAGTGATGATCATAATGGAAATCGGTTCTGATAATGTCTTGAGTGAAAATGCAACCTACCTAACAACAATATCATAAAAATACATCTATCAGGAGATGAAGATTGTGTGGATAATCCTCAACGTACACAGTACATACACTGTAGATCTCGACTCATATCGTCATGATCGAAGGACTCTGTATTTATCAGCCTCTATATCGATGTGGATACAATATTGATATACATGAATAATCTCATCCCAATTGATTCTAAAAGATCACATTAATCCAAAGTTATTAAATTTATGCATGGATGTAAACAATGTGAGGATAATAAAGTTCCTCATTCTCAATCGGTTGGTTTCGATGTAGGTTGTAGTCGTCAATCTCGATATCCTTTTCACATATTCTGTCCTCTTCAAGATGTTTTCCAAATCTGCCTCTTCAACTGTACCTGGAACAATAGAGGCAGGAGGCACATCCTCACACTTCGTGAGAACATTCTGAACTATGCTCGTTCTGGATAATCGTTACTGTCGTTGCATTGCCTTTCAATGTGGATCTTGTAGACACGTGTCTTTGGAATCGGAGACTGAACTGGTTCTTTGGGTTGTGTTGCTTCTTTCGTGGTAAGGAGCATAACAAGATTTCCCGCATACCTCTGAAATACAAAATTTTAATTTGTGAGATGATGAGAATCTCAAATGCCTACTGAAGGATATTGATCTACGTTTCTTAAAAATTGTCATTACATTATCATACATTCGATACGTTGAATGAATTCATGGAATAAACGTCAATTCAACGGTTCTCGGTAACTATTCTACAACAATGTGTATCATGTTTATCAGCAACGTTTGTGAACCGTCATATGTCGAATTGAATGGAGAATTGTTATCAAATTGTCATGGATCCGGCGGAGTTTTCATAAGTGATTTGCGGCAGTCAAGGTCATCATCTGGCGTTGCGATGACATAAAAACAACGGGAAAATATGTCTAACTTCCAATCATTGCCAAGAGTTAGGCATTTCTGCACGTAGTTTCCATGTCATTCCAACGTCAGATGATGAATATTCGAGATCATTCATTCGCTTCATTGTTCACGAAATTGTGTTGCCAAGCAACACCACGAGTTCGCCAGGACGAGTAATACTTTTGTACAGCAACACAATAGAAGACAGAATCAGGAGGAGTTGATCAGAACAGAGTGGTATTCTGCTAGACTATTTCACGTCCACGAAGCATAAAAATCATTCATTGTGAATGAGTAATTCATTCTGATAATAACAGTCATAATTATTTCATGCCAAACTGACAAACTCTGCTTGGCTATCTATGGTTACTATGTTGAAAGACAGCTAATGTTTTCGCGCTAAGCACTCGTTATCTCTGGCTTATTGTGCTTGTTCAGATTATGTGCTAAGTGAAATCGTCACACTAAACCAAAGATTATTCGAAATGTCGCTTGCGAAATAAATGATCATTCTTCAACATAATGCCGCAACTATTTCACAAAAGTTGAGTATCCGTTTTTTAACAACGTTTGTTGACCGTCATTCGACATCGTGCATTATTATAAATTGTCCTTAACAAGTAACTTTTGAAATGCCTAAAAGCACCAATGGGACTTCAAATAGGTTATGTGAGAGCGAATGATGAGTCTAACCACTCTCAACTTATTTATCAACGCCTTCAAAATGGCTGACTGATTTTCAGGACTATCCAATCTCATCAAAAGATTTAGAGATATACAGGGTGTTTCATAATTGAATGTCAATATTCGAGGAGGCGATTCTTGAGCCCATTCTAAGAAGAGAGTTTCATATGAACGTATGACCTAAACGTCCTAACTTTTGAGATATAGGGTGGTAAAGTTATCAAAAATTGATATAGCCTACTAGAATGAGAAGTTATAATTCCAAAATACCAAATACGAATACGAAGTTCATAAATTATGAATTGTATTTCTGAAATTCGATCTAAAAAATAAAATCCATTCTTCTCTTCATTGTGATATTGTCATATTAACTATTGCTATAATATCATGTAGTGAAAATCTTTTTATTTTTTTAAGCGAAAACCGTGCATCAGATTGAAAATATTGTGTTGATCAAATTCGCTTACAAATGATTGGGAATTCCAGGCATTATTTCAATTTCGAGATAAATCAGTGGCGTACCATCAATGACTGCCAAAATATGTATGTAAAATTCTATACTACGCCACTGGTGGCAACCAAAAATAAATGTAGTACACTAACTGAGGCCTCTTGTTACATAGTACATGTATGCGAAATTTCATCAGAATATCTGAAGTGGTATTACAGATATTAATAAAAAACTAATAATATTTGAGAACTTCACCACCCTGTATCTCAAAAGTTAGGACGTTTAGGTCATACGTTCATATGAAACTTTCTTCTTTGAATGGGCCCAAGAATCGCCTCCCCAAATATTGACATCCAATTAAGAAACACCCTGTATACTATGATGAAGCCAATCCATAGAAACTATCTGACATTCAGATCGACTGTGTTTCAAGAGAGCTGGATTCGTTTTTTCGAAAGTATTCAGTCCTTACAACCCTCTCAAAACACTTAGGCAATAATAAACCTATATTAATCATCTCAGTCAATCGTAAGAACTACCTGATTATCTGGTTCATGGAATTGTGTTGACCCCAAATCCCACTAATGGTATTTCCTGCATGGGGTACTGTGATGAACTCAAATCCTGAATAATGAGAATCTGACAATGATAAAATGAATGGTGTGAGAAAAATCACGAATACAACTATACCCAGTCATTTCGACAAGAAAATTTCAAACGTTAGATCTTTGAATACAACCCAACCGAATACCTACATAGCAACGATTCGGTACATTTTCATGTAATAGGTATGCAATCAATGGGTCGGATTGAAGATACCGAGAATATATCTGATAGTTTGTCTCAATTATGATTACTATTGTACATAGAAAGTGATACCAACAACACAAGGAACTGGAAAACCGATGACTTAATGGAAGTAGGGTTATGCTGATGGGCACTGACCAGGATATCCTTAGGGCTCCGTAGATTTATGAAGGAATATTTTATATCTATTTCATCATTTTCGAGACTTGTCAAACCGCAGGGCCCAGCAGGGCAGATAGTCATGAGGATGAATTTGAATATGCAATAAGAACCTCGCCAGAAGGAAATGGTCTCATACATTGTCTCCACATCATCTTATTGATTCGATTCAGCGCATCAGGTAATAAAGACAATAATAAGTTCTCAGTATATTTTGCGCTTAGTGGGTATATACATTATCGATTAAGTTCATTCGAACAAAACTTACAACAGCCATTTCGCGATGAGCTAATATTAATGGAGTTGAGACAATCATAGTGATGTTTCTGAAGGAAATAATAATGATAATAATTATAATAATAATAATAGCAATAATGATGATAATACAAATAATAATAATAATAATCCCCCTATGATCCGGGGGAGATTGAGTCCGTTGTAGAGAATGAGAGGTGCCGAATTTATTGGAACTTCTCATTCACCACCGTCAAGCAAATACAAGCTAACAAGCCTGATGTAGTCCTCCTCGATCATCACACCAACGCGATGTTCGTGATCGAGTTTTTGGCGCCAGCAGAACCGAACATCGTTTTGTAGGAGGAGGAGGAACGGACTGAATATCGAGATCTCCTTTTCGAACTCCGCCAGCTCTATCCATACCATTCTGTGGAATTGGTCGGATGTCATCGGTTCTCGGAAGGCCGTCATGCTAGGATCATTGCGTTAACTCAGGGCACACGGTTCTTGGTCCCAGTGATTATTCACCCCACAGGCTGTGGGGAGTAGTCACTGGATTTTTATCTATTACGACTCTGCGTGGCGTCGGAGGCCGCAGAGTCGTGACTGGAGTAATATGAATTCAGATAATAATAATTATAATAAGCAACATTTTTGAGGACATAATCGAATTCGTTTATTTCTCCATTTGTTCATAGGAAAATGATATATCTCGAAAAGAGGATCGAAAATTCTATTGCATGCAATGAAAATCCATTATAGTGTCCATGAGAAAAAAACGGAGTAATAATCTCCAAAACGTATGAAGATCATTTTTGTTTCATTTTTTATTCAAAAGTTTCTGAAACATTTTCTTTCATTTACTCGGGTTTGTCAAAAACGCCCTATTTTGATTTGTCGCGATTATTTCAAAAACCAAATATGATTGAGAGAATCTGACGGCAGTTCTGAAATGGTGATAAAATTCTGAGGAACATTGCCCAGTGAAACGACTTTGTTGCTTTTATATTACCCGAGATAGGAATACATGCAGCACCAATTTGGGACACAGTGTATTCACACGAGGGTAACTTTATGTTCAATTTGCGCTGCGCCGCCTTCACAAACAGGTCAAAACAGGCGGATGAAATCCTCTATCAACATGCTGTGGTATTTGATATAGGTGGTTCATTAAGTCCCCACAATATCATTGATCTCCGCCAAATTACCAACCAATCAACACAAATATACTCGAAACATTATTGATCCCCTACATCAAGTTTTCAAACTTCAAAGGATGTTTATGTTGCTGTCCCAGTATGCAAATTTACCATAGGCATCCATCATATAGTTGCCGGAATTCATATTATACACCGCTGTGCAATGAAAACCGGCTAATGAAAATTGTTTGACCTGTTTCGATGTTGAACTCTATTTCATCATTTTGAAGTAATTATCCAAACATAGTTCACTTTTGCATGCCATTTTCTCTACAGATATTTGTACTTTTCTCGAATGATGTTTCAGATTCTCAATATTTCATAGACGAAAAATGCAACAAATCGCGTAATGAAATGCACCTCAATCAATCCAATACAATTAAACGATACGACTTCTGTATTGTATGTATTCCAGTCGACTCCTACGGTAGTGATTAATTGTTATTTCCAAGCAAAATGTGAATCTTATTCCATTGGTTCCTCAAAAATATGATACTCCCGGTGTCAATCGGTATATCACGTCATCAAGTGTTAGCGTTTTGGAAGGTGATTGTTTTCATACCAAAACAAAAGTATTAGTGATGATTTCTTGCATTTGACTGTTCCTTGTTCATTCCACATTTCATCGATTATTCCATTTCTATTATTGTTAAATCTTCAAGGTTATTCATTTGCTTTCAATAATGCCCTGTATTTGCGGCAAAGTCGAACAACTGTTGGTGATCATCGAAAGCAGAGACATATGAGAGAAAAGGTTTCGACAAGTTGTCAAGAGGAGAAGGAAACTCTCCGGGGAATGGAAATAAAACGTGATTTCCTCCGAGAGCAGATGTGTGCCTTCATGAGATGAAGGCCGACGTACCTATCCGAGGCAGTAGAAGCTACAAGCAGTTATAACGACGAGGCAGTACTTGGTTCACTTGGTCGATACAACAAAGATTGGCAGTGGTCAAACTTGGAGAACTCTAGCGGCAGTGAGCTGTTAAGTTCAAGGTATGATTCACCTCGATTATTCGCGAAAATCACGAACCAATAGATGGCGCTATCAAACGTCAAATCAATGTCAAAATGAGTATGAACAACAAAAACATTGCCGTATGTAGATTTACCCGCCAATTGGTCATTTCGAAATCAGCGTTTATTTTCCAAA